CCGCGGGCTTCGGCTTTCCGTCTACAAATCGGGCCTCCGGCGGCCGCTTCCCCGGCCCCCCCTGGACGCTCTTGGCGAGGCGCAGCTGCTGGATGCGAGAGCGCTCCGAGGCGAGAACACCCTCAAGAACCAACAAAAACTGCCGACAAAGCCCGAACACGCACCCCAATGATGCACGAACAACGCCCGAAACGCCCAATCAGCACCCCGAAAGGCAACGAGAATGTCCAAAGCCTCAAACCTCCGACCTGACGCCGAGCCGCGCCGTGGTGGCGACGGGCCAGGACGCCGCTGCTGGAGAGCGCCCCCAGGACGCTCTCGGCAAGGCGCAGCTGCTGGTGAGAACCTCCCCCCGAACGAACAAAAACTGCCGACAACGCCCGAAGATGAGGAGCCGACGACGATGGCGAGCGGCGGCGACGCGCCAAGCGGCGCGCGCCGAGGCGGGCGCCGCCACGCCGACAGGGCCAGCAGGGCCGGCACGAGCACCGCGGCCGTCGCGGTCAGCGCCGAGGCGGCGTCCGCCGTCGCTCGCGGGGCGCCTGGCAAGCAAGCCAACGCCCACGGCGTCGCCCCCCAAGAGCTCTTCGGCGGCGGCGGTGCGCACCGGTGAGCATCGTGCGACCCTATCCCCACCCACGTGGCCTTCGGCCCACTGACCAGCTTCCCCACCTTGGTGGGGGCATGTATACATGCATGTGTATATCTATACACACATATATAATCATGTATATGTACACACACTCTGCTCATGTATGGCCATCTGCATTCCCCAAACAGTGCTTGCACTTAGGGGAACACATGACGTGCAATCTTTGTGTTGCAATTACGGTGTGCAATATATGTAGTGCAACCTAGGTGGTGTGATCTCTCTTTGATGTTTTGTTGTTTTTGTCTCAGTCCACTTCTATATATAGACAGTGTGCAACGTATGTTGCGCAACATGATACCTGAAACATATGCAGTGCTGTATGCATATGCAACCACATATATATATTGTCTATCCCTTTATACATACAGATCGTGAACAACAGATGGAGCAACACATGCTGTCACATATAGTTGGTGTGATATGTGTAGTCCTATCTACATGAAGCAAGATATGTGGAAAACATATGTGATGCAACACCTGTTGTACAAAAGCTGTTGTGCAACATATGTATTGCCATAGCTGTGGCGCAACTTATGTTGCGCAGAACCTGGTGCAGTGTATGTGGTGCAATCTATGTTGCGCAATCGATGCTGGGCAGTTTATGTGGTGCAATAGATGTTGTGCAACAGCTGTTGTGCAAATAATGGTGTGCAAAGTATGTGGTGCAGTCTTCCTGGTGCAAGATATGTTGCGCACTCTATCAAGGGCAATCTACCAAGTGCACTATATGCAGTGCAATCCATATTGCGAAGTAGAGGTCGTGTATTCGATGTGGTGCATCCTAAGTTGCGCAAGATGCTTGAAACGCTTGTGCAAAGCATCGCACAGCAACGCCATGCAAGGCAACGCAGAGGAGCACAAAGCAAGGCAAAGCAATGCAATGCAAACAAATGCAAGGCAATGCAAAGCGACGCATAGGCATGCAAAGAAGAGCAATCTATGTGGTGCGATCTGGCAGCGGCGACGGGCGGCGACGGCGGCGACGGGGAGGCGACGGCGGTTACATAGCCGCCAGACCAGCCGTCAGGCCCGGACGACGGGCGGCGACGGGACGTCGACGGCGGCTACATAGCCGCCAGACTGGCCCGCAGACCTAGTTGCTGATTCCATTAGTGAGGACCCTTAAATGCATGCACTTGTTGGGGTACATTGCAGAAAACAAGTTGCTACAACATAGACTGTACCACACAGAATGCCCCACATAGATTGCACAACACGTATGGCTAAAACGCACACTGTTCAGGGTCCAAGCTGGCTCTCACACATACATATACATATACATATATATATATACATATGTATGTGTATATACGTATACATATATAAGAATAAATATGTAGTTCTGCATGTCTATATATATATAGTGTAGGTGTATGCATGTGTGTATGCCTGTTGTTTCGGGTCTCGCGGGGCATATCCCCAACTGGGAGGATGGGCTGAAGGGGCTGAGATCCCATGGCCCAGTGGGGACGGGGATCTGTTAATTAGCCGATGCTGCACTGGGGGGCCGTGGCGCGAGGGAAGCGCCTGTTCCAGGAGGGCGGGTGGGCGGGAAGGGGCTCCCTGGAAGGGTCCGGCAGCCAGGGGGGCGAAGTCTCCTCGGGATCCAGGAGCGTGGGCCCCCGCCTTCCTGGGGAGCCTGGCGCTCGCGAGGCCCCTGGCGACACGCCCACGGCGTCGCCTGGGGAGCCTCCAGCGTCGCACCACGGGATGCTACAGCGATGTAACTCGTCGTCGTCGTCGTCGACGTCGTCGACGATCGAAGGTCGAAGATTTCCAATGTTTCGGGGCTCTCCGATGTGCGATGGGGCGTTTCTGGTGCCCGGGGACAGGCGACGTTGCACCACTGCTTCTTGCCACGCCATGCAGCGCCCATGTGCGAGCATCTTGCCGCGCCAATTGCTGACAACGAGTGCGCATGCATTTCGCATTCGTGCGAGGTCCGCACCGCGAGCAATCCTTAGAACCCCACCAATCGGCGGTACTCATTTTTTCAGCGACCTTATTGAAGGACTGGTGTCCCAGAACTGGGGGAACTATTTTTTTCCGCGGCACCCGCTGCGCAACAACGACGAGGACAGCTACGACTATGATTGCGACTACGACTACGACTACGACTACGACTACGACTACTACGAGGGTGAGAGGGCGAGGAAGAGGGAGAGGTTTGAAGACCAGTCCTACTCACTGCCGAATGAAAAAGGGGGTCTCAAAACTAAAGTCCTCGTCAGGTTAGCAGCCGTGAAGCGAATCTAGACAAGATCAGACTCGTTGTGGAGCCAGGCAAGGGAAATCCTACGCAATCGCAGCTGAAAGGCTCTCCGACCTCGTCGTACATCCGGCGTTTCGCAAAAACTCGCGCTGGGGATCTGTCTCAGTAGGTCTCGGCGACCAGGGACCGTTGCTGGGCCCCCGGCGCCATCGAGAAACTGCTGCCGACGAGAGTCTGGTTCTAGGCATCACCACTACCAGGACGGGGGAGAAGTGAGGATGGGGAGGTACTCCCCCTCCTCCTCCTCCTTCTCCTCCTGCTCCCTCTCCTACCTATGGTGGTGGTGGTGGTGGTGGGAAATCGGTCCACCAGGGATGGGGTCGAGAGCTCTGGGGGCGGAGCCGAAAGACCCAAGAGCATGCGGCTCGAGGGGCCGGAGCCGCTGCGTCGTCGGAACGCTCGGACACGGAGGGCTCCTCCTGCCCCCCTCCCCTGGCTGGCAGGCGAGACGAGGCGGACAGGGTTCACGAGCGGCAAGCATCGGCGACGTCGGCGTGGACAAAAACGGGCTTCGCATCGAGCCGCATCGCCGATGCATCAGCGATGCGGCGCGACCCTCCGACCCGATCTACTCCCAACCCATCTGGCAGGCCTGGAGAGAATGACCAAATCTCGGGAAACCTGCAGGTACCGATACCGGTACTCCTCGGACCTCTCCTGGGGTGCGTTCTGACCTGGATTTCGAAGCGGATCTGGCGGTGGCGACGAGGGCCATCCGGGAGGGCCCCAAAAGGGGAAAACGAGGGACGAGGGCAGGGTGGTGGTATGGGTACCTGTTTCGCCTCCGAGTCTCCGCGCCCTCGCGGTCTAGGGCGCGATCCCGCGGATGCGCGGCTGCACGGCTACGTCCCGCGCGGGGCAGCAGCGAGACAAGCGCCGCGTGTCCGCGGGGCCGCGGCCCTGGGGGCCCAGCGGCCGTAGATACGAAGAGGCCAACTTTTTCCTGCGCGCGAGCTTCCGTGCCACAAGGGGCGCCGGTCAGGAGCCGTTCCGGGAAGGGCTGCGGGCATCAGGAAAAGCGGGCGCACGTTCTGGTTCTTCCTCCCCCCTCTTCTAAAACAGGAGAGCACGGCGTAGGCATCCGCCACCGTGCCGCGATGAGGCACCGATTGGAGCAGCTGCGGGTACCTTCGAGTTCTGGTCTTCTAACATGGCACAAACTGTCTTCGAGGGCCCCAGGCCCCGGATATAACTACCTGGAATTCTTGGGCGGTCGTGGGAGATTCGTTGCGCTTTGGGGCTCCCCGTCAGACTTGTCCAGGGGCCCTTGTATGGCCCCTTGGGCTCATCTTGGAGGTCTCTTGGGCTGGCTCCCTTGGAAGCCCTGCGGGCCGGGCTGGGCTAGGCCACCCTAAGAGGCCCAAATGATCGAAATCCCGTTTGTTTCCAGATGGAGCAGCAACGAAAAGCTCGAGAGCCGAGAGGCCCCCAAAGGAGAGCCCAAGAACTGCCTTCTGGAGCCATCTACCCCAAGAGTGTCACTCGTCCACGACCTAGGCAGGGTGGTGGGATAGGCCGAAGGCCATGAAGATGAAATGTTGACGCAAGGGGGGGATCCAGCGCCGACCCAGAACATCCGCGCGGACCTCCGAACGTGGATTACTTAGAGAAAGCTTCGTGATTTGACCTTCCTGTCCCCCTCAAACAACTGTGGCCGATTCTGGCAACCCTGAACCTAAAAATCTGTTCATCTCTTGGGGGCGCATGCTTTACTTCCGCCGCCTTCCGCCGCCCTTTCCGCCAGCTTCCGCCGGCTGAGGCAGGCGGCCTCGTTTCACCTCCGCCGCCCTTCCACCGCCTCCCGCGGCGGAAGAGATGGCAGCTCCTTCGATCCTCGAAAACAAAGCAAGGCCATTCTTGGAGCCCCCTGGTTGAGCAGGGATCGACAGTCCTGGCATTCCTGTAGTCCTACCACGAAATGTTCTTAGAAACCAAACATGTTCTAGTAACAAAAACGCTGCTTAAACCCGATGTGAGAAACCAAGACAGTCCCAACCAGAACTGTTCTAAGAGCTTCGCCCCTGCTTGACGTCCTGCCTCTCCGCGCTGCCTCACCCCTCCCCTCCCCGGCGCCGGCTACGCGGGCGCGCCGACGGCCGGCCCCGCGGTCGCAGAGTCGGGGCCCCCGGTGTCCCCGGAGGGCGGCCCGAGCCTGCGGGGAGAGCCCGCAAGGTCACGACACATCTGGAGGGGAGGGCACCGACGACAGCGTCGAGCGCTTTCGTATCCGGCGTGTCGGCATCGGGCGGAGAACCACGTGGGACCTGCTCCAGAACAGGAACGTACCGTAGACGGATCTGCCCTGTCTCCGACCTGGCACCGCGCCGAACGCAACGGCCACGTTGCCCATAGACGCATCCACCCCGAAGGTGTCTATGGACGTCACTGCACTCAATGTGTCCATAGACACTGTGGGCTATGACGTCAGAGCGGTATATGGCATCGGGCCCAGGCTTGGCCCTCCAAGACATTGGGCGGAAGGGGGGGGGAGACGGGGAGGTCTGGCTCTGGGCATCTACTGAGTGCGACGGTTTGCGCCAGTGCGTCCTATATGGGGGAGACTCAACCTGCTTGAAGCAGGCGCCAGAACCAGCCAAGATCTACTCCATGGGGGGAGAAAGGGGGGTGCGAGGCCCCGCGCCGATCGGCAAAACAATGAACAAGACAACGATCACTAAGGAGACGATGTCGCCGTCTTCGTTTCGCAAGCCATTCGGGCGTCGCTGGAGGCTCCCGTCGCCAAAGCCCAAGCGCAACAGGAACAATGTGTCATGATGGACCGTTCATGAGGCCGCCCTCCCGACACTGGGGGTGGCTTGGTGACGCAAGCGACGACCCAGGATCGAGGCTCCATAGATTTTTTCCACCCGACAAATTAAGGCTGTTAGATTTGACGGACATGTTCCCGACCCGCCGCGCCTGCCCTGCTTACCGCAGCCGCCAGGACCCCAGAATATGGGTGGTCCTTGGGCGTCCCGCCTCGCCCACCCCTCTTCTTCCTTCTCCTCCTCCTCCTCCTCCTCCTCTTCCTCCTCCCCCTCCTCTTCCTATGCCTCCTCTTCCTCCTCCTCCTCTTCCTCCTCCTGCGGCCGCCAGGACACAAGAGGGAGGGAAGAGGGAGGCCCCTGGGTCTCCCACATCGCCCGCCCTGCATACCGCGGCTGCCATGCCCCAAAGAATCCGAGTGGTCCCCGAATGTCCCCCACATGGCCCGCCCGGCATGCCGCGGCGGACATGCCACGAGAATCCGAGTGGTCCCCGGGTGGCCCGTCTCGCCCGCCCTGCGTACCCCCGATTGGGAGGCGCCACGGCGTCACGCCGTCCATGCGCCACGTCGCCCACAGATTTTCAGCTTAAATATATATATATATATATATATACACATACATACATACATACATACATACATACACAGAGAACACGCAGTCGTCCATGCCAGTGCATACATCTCGATGTTGTGCTATGAATATTCAGGAAATGTATGCCCCAAGGACAAAAATAATGCGCAGACAACACAAGCATGCATCACCAACACGCATCCAGAACAGACAACGAGGACACACCTGAATAACAGGCAAAACCAACATACGCCGATCTCTTACGAAGAAAATGCGCGGATAGCACACACACCAGCAACAACCACTTATGACATGCACCGAGAACAATCATCAAGAAGCTTCATCAAGAATGTACAACAGTAGCTTACACAAAGGCCCAATACACAAACACAACGTTCACAACAACAGTCCACCAGTGACAAGCACCACAAGCCATCACCGAGACCACAAATCGTCAACATGTGCCCACCACGCATGCCAAAACCAGACATCAACAACATAGGCCGTAGGCATACATCAGCATCAGAAAGTGTTAGCCAGCGCGAACGCCACACAGTATGTTCTTGCAGTCTATGCGGTGATATCTATGTGGTGCAAAGTATGCTATGCAAACCATGTCATGCAATCTACGCGGCGCAGTCTATGCAGCGCAATCTATGTGGTGCAATCTACGCGGTGCAACATGTGTAAGTATGGCAACATGTGCGTTGCAATCTGTGTGGTGCAATCGAGGTGGGGCAACCTACGCGGTGCAAACTATGCCATGCAGTCTTGCGGGGCAATCTACGTGGTGCTATATACGCGATGCAACCTATAATATACAATATATGCTGTGCAATCTATGTGGTGCAAGTTACGCGGCGCAACCTATGTGATGCAATCTATGCGGTGAAATCTACGTGGTGTAGTATATGCTGTGCAATATATGCGACGGCGACGACGGCGACGGGAAGCACCTCCCGCACAAACCGCCACTCGCCCCGAGCGGCGGCGACGGCGACGGCGGCGACAGCAATGGCGGGCGACACTGTCCGCAAAAGCCGCCACTCGCCCCGAGCGGCGGCGACGGCGACGGCGACGGCGACGGCGGCGACGGGCGGCACCGCCCGCAGAAACCGTCATTCATCCCGAGATGGTTAAGCCAAGTAAGAACCCCTAAGTGCAAGAACCGTTCGGAGGAAAAGGAACATCAAAAACGCCACGGGAAGGCCCAAGACAAAGCAGCCATAGCGGGCAACAATAGCATACACCAATACCCCCCACCAGCAGCATTAATCTCAATAAAGTAGGAGCCTCAAGAACATTAACCAACACCACACACAAACCGATGACACGCATCAAGAGCATGCACCAACACTCGCGTATAACTGCAGTACATCGGTTGCAGGCGCCGAGGGCATACATCTAAACGATACTCCAAAACATGCATCACTACCGAATATAAGCACCCGTCAAAAAGAGAATGCGGTAGCTTACACACTTCACTACCAGAATACAAGAGCACAGCTCAAATCATACATCAAGAGCAAACGCCAATGACTTACTCTGCTATCATACACCTTGACACACTGGAACTACTTCGAGGGTGCCGCTCGAATCAACATACCTGGCGGCTGCTTCTATACAACGGATGCTGCATTGGTGATTAGCATAGTCCCGAAAACTGCACCCAGAAATAAGCGGACGATTTGGTTGACCGCGGAATGACTGGCGCACCTTGTTGCGTAACCTATGGCAAACCCGCTGGGCAAACGTAAAATGTTGTTACAGCAGATAGCGCAACGGACACCCCGGCCTAGATTTCAGGCACAACTCTAAACTAAGAGTATTGACTTTTATCTAAGCTTGCTCTTTCACAGTAGTCCAGGTCCAGATGTACGAAAAATTAATGGAAAAAACTAAAAGAAAACGCCCACGGTCCAGTCCAGATTCTTGATTCTCTTACTAAAATCAAAGAAATCTGGGGCCCATGACAGTTTATGAGTTGTCTTCAGATATCTGGTTGCTGGCCACCGTGTGTCTGGCGCAAGGTTGCCTGCGGGGTGTCCCGCGGGGAATCTGTGGCGCAACCGCCTGGGCAACTGACGAATTGGTTGCCGGCTGGGTGCATAAGATCACCTATGGCGCAACGTATGGTGCAACCTATGAAAACCAACTGTGTTTCGGGACGGCTTGGTTGTTCGCAATGTGTTTGGCGGAATGTGTGGCAGACGCCCTGGGCCAGAGGACGTCCGCAGGTTGGCTGGCGCAACATGTAGCGCAAACCTTCGGCCAGCGGGCGATTTAGTTGCTGGCGGGGTGTTAAGCGCAATCTATGGCGCAACCTATGGCAGACCGACTGGGCCAGTGGAAGGTGTTGTTGTCCGCTGGCTGTCTGGCGCAACCTATGGCACAATCTATGGCAAACCCGCTGGGCGAACGGGCGATTCGGATGCCCACGGGGTGTCTGGCCTAATCTTTGGCGCGAACTATGGCAGCCCCACTGAGCGAATTTGCGAGTTCGCTACCCGCGGGGTGTCTCGGGTTACCTATGTCGCAATCTATGGCAGACACCCTCGGCCAACAGACGACGTGGTTGCCCTCAGAGTGTTTAGCACAACGTATGGCGCGATCACTGGGCCATTCGACATTTGGATGCCCGCGGGAAGTTCGGCACAAAAGATGACGCAACACATGGCAGACCCATTGGCCAATGGGCGATTCAGTTGCCCACGGGGTGTCTGGCGCAAACTATGGCGCTACACATGGCAAATCTACGGGGTCAAGAGGCGATTTGGTCGTCCGCGGGATGTCTGGCGAAAGGTATGCTGGAATGTAGGACGGGCCCACTCGGCCAAATGACAAGTGGATAAGTGAAACCTATAGCAGCACCTCTGAGCCAACGCACGACTTGGTTGCCCGCGAGTGTCTGGCGCAACCTATGGCGCAACCCATTGCGGATGCATCCCATGGTGTGGGGTGGAACTTGGGTGTAGCCCGAGCTTGTTCTTCGCAAGGTGCAGTGGCTGGACTGATCGCAACCTTTATCAGGCCGTCCCATTGACGCCCACCTGAGGCCGTACCAATAGCGCAACGAATAGCAAACAGTTTCGTGTTCGGTCGCCTGCGGCGCAACCTATGGCGCAACAAATCCGCCGACCTTGTCGGCGTGTGCGAGGGGCTTGGCTGTTCGAGTCGTCGTCTCCGTCGGTCGTCGCCTCCGTCGTCCCCTTTCCCTGCAGCTTCCTTCTCAAGCTCGTGAGCGAGAGAAAAATCGAGCAGTGTCGTAGTCGAGTCGAAGGGAAGCCCCTTCCCTTTGATCCCTTCCCCAGGGGGGGGGGGTCCCGGAGGGGGTCCCCGGGGGGGTGGGGGGGGGGGTGGGGGGGTCCCGGGGGGGGTCCCGGGGGGGGTGGGGGGGCAGATTAGTTTTTCCTCGGGCGGCCTAGAAACATCGAAAACACTCCAAATGAGGTCCGAATGCCCCAGATGGCCCCCGAGACGGCCCAAGAGGGCCCCGAGTCGCCCAAAGATCGGCTGAAAACGCCCAAGATAGCCCCAAGACCGTCCAAGAAGCCTCCAAGACGTCCCAGGCCCCCTCCAAGAGACCCCCAGGAAGCCCCAAGAGGCCCCCACGAGGCTTTCAAGCGGCCCCTAAGAGCTTCCCAAGAGGCCCACAAACTACCCAAAAGAGGCCCCCAAGAGCGCTCGTCGTCGTCGTCGTCGTCGTCGCCATTCAGGGTCGGCGGCACCGGCCGTAAGGCCTTCGCAATAATATACCGTTCCTCGTTCTGCCGCCAGTGGCGCAACGTATGACGGAACCCACATCAAGCGTTGA